CGATGATGTGCGGAGCAGTAGTGGTGGATGTGGAAAAGTTCTCATTGGTTAACATGATGGCACAATGTACGTGAGTGGGACATAGCGGTAGCGGAGGATGTGGATTCTGGTGGTGAGTGCACAGACCTCTGCCAAACAGCACATTTTCCCCCATATTGTGACATAAAGCTATAGTTAAAACTCCCCATGATTTGGATCATTTTTACATTTTAATTGTTCTTTGATAAGAACAACTTTGTTCAAAGCTGTCCATAATCTTTAAAGTTATCTTATACACACAAGCTAAAAGATTACCTCCGCTAAGGAGGTTATAGAGTCATTCAGAATTGTAATAATTGAAACGCGGCACATCAACCCCACCTTAAAACATGGTGGTGGTAGCATGAAGCTGTGGGGTCAGGGTGTGGTATGGGTGTCAAACTGGTCCCTAGCAGCTGTTTGAAGATGAAGACTGTCTCAAATAAACCATGAAGGCAGGCAACTGATTTTTAACAGTAGAAACACTGAACTGTTTCCTTAGATGTTGCCCTTGAATGAAAAATCCCAGTAAGGCCCCGAGGTTTGATCAGCTTAATCGGAACAAAAGTGGGAACGTAAGAATTTGTTTGGTTTTCCTTTTAGAATGAATTTCTGGGCAGTATCAGAGTAGTGTCAGTGGACCCAGATGCAGGGGCAGATAGGCTGAGGTGATTTCTTTCAGTTTTATTGGTGAAACGGTAAACAAAGGCTGGTATCCAAAAAAAAATAATGAACCAGAACCATGGAGACATCAGGGGAAACCAAACACGAGGAGCCAGGGAGAGACGAGGTACGAAGGCAACAGCAATGAGAGACCAGCGATGACAAGACCAGCAACAACAAGGAACAAACAAGAAGTGACAGCAGAGGGAGAGTATATATAGCCGACTGAGACAAAGGCAGGGCTAAAAAGCTCAGTTAGCCGCCGACTGGAACAACCTCGGAGGGGGAAGGGAGCGCTGGCCAAGGGCTCTTGGAGATTAACTTTCCCCGAGCTTCAAATCTGAGACTATTTCATTTGCGTGCTCTGGACGTCACAGACCTCGCTCAGGGGTCTCTGGACGGCACAGAGCTCGCTAAGGGGTCTCTGGACGGCACAGAGCTCGCTAAGGGGTCTCTGGACGGCACAGAGCTCGCTAATGGGTCTCTGGACTTGGCCCTTTAAAGGGCTTGGGATCTGGCCCGCTAAAGGGCTCTGGCTCGGGAAGTGCTGGCTGGTGGGGAGCTGATGGAGGTGGTAGGAAGGGAAATAGATCTTCCCTTTGCCCATAAAAGAAGTCCCATAACTGAGACTCCTATATAGCGGGAGCTCTGACTGCATCAGGTGTCATCATGGGTACAGATCTAAAACCTCTAACTCGTGAACCTAGCTGCTGGTCATGGAGGTGACGACCTAAGCCATAGGGGAAACTGACCTGGTTAAGAGGGGAACTGAAACTGGCGTCAGGCTGACCCACCGGAGAGGAAGTGGAGGTGTCAGGCTGACCAACAGCTAGTGATGGTGGAGGAACCGGGTCGGAGGCGATTGACAACAGAGTGGGAAGGTGATGGAATGATGGTTCGGGTGGTGCAGGTCTGTTGAAGAGTTGGGCGCTGGCTGTTAAATGGTTCCACTCCAACTCTTCGAACAGTTCAGATAACACTGGGGGAGAAATGAATGTGGATTTAGAGAGGAGAATCTGCTCAATTTGGGCAGCCGCACTTAACCTCTCCCAAGGCGGGCTCAGATTGGCAATAGAGTCCAGAGTATTTAAAGCTACAGTGTGTAATAATTTCAGGGATATACAGTCAGAAATGTAATATATTATGCATAACTATGTTATTTATTATCATCTACGAGCTCAGCCTCTTAACCTTAATATTTGCGTTGCCTTAGAATTCATTATTTATAATTACGTAAGGGCGGGTCTCGCAGCCATGGAGGCAGACATCTTTGCGCTACGGCAGCACAGAGCCAACAAACTAGTGATTGCGAGATCGCCCATTACGCTCGAAAGTAACTACGGCAAGTTGAGAGAGATGAACTGAGACGGTACTGAAATCTATACCCTACACAGACTAATGAAATACTATCTGTAAAAATATCTATGTAAACAAACCTCATCACTTGAGAAGGTAGGTGATGCGGACGTCGTGGAAGACATTTTGTCCCGTAACGCTCGCCGTACTGTTGGGGGGGAGAAGCAGTGGGGGGAGATGTTCATGTTGCTGCGGTCTGCAGTCTGGACGTTAGATGTCGCTGAAAATTACACACTGTAGCTTTAATAGAGTAATAGAGTATTTCCCAGATTTATTGATGAAACCCCCCCGGAGGACCACACTGGGCTCTGCTGGGTCCATGTTGGTTGGTTCCTTCTGTCAGAGTAGTGTTGGAGGTTCTTGTGGACCCAGATGCAGAGGCAGAGAGGCTGAGGAGATTTCTTGCAGTTTTATTGATGAAACAGTAAACAAAGGCAGGTTATCAAAAATCTAACTGAAAAAGTTAAATGAACCAGAACCATGGAGACATCAGGGGAAACCAAACACGAGGAGCTAGGGAGAGACGAGGTATGAAGACAACAGCAATGAGAGACCAGCGACGACAAGACCTGCAACAACAAGGAACCAACAAGGATAGCAGAGGGAGAGAATATATATGGCTCTGTTCGAAAACCTAGGACGTGTCCTCCAAGGACGCGGTCTACCTAGACTGGATCCTTCGAAGTCCTTGAAAATAAGGAGACCGGAAGAGTTTAGGCTGTGAATTCAACCAGGTTTACCCTTCGGCGGGTTTTACCGCCGTATGCTCTGTTGCTTAGCAACCGTAAACGTTGACACACAAAGCAGGAAAAGAATGAATACAGAAGTTTTCAAAACTGTTTATTTATTTCTTTTTTTATTGTGAATTGAAGAAAGACTACACTCACAAGAATCCAGAATGGAATAAATGTTCCAACAGCCGGGAGCAGGAACAAATAAAATCAAATGTAATGATAGAAACCTTAGTCAGTTAAATAACATGCTGCTGTCATTCTGCACATCTCTGATGTTGCTGCTATTTTCGAATATCCATTACTGTAAAAATGTCCATAGCTGCATATTGGTTATTTATTCCCCAGTTTTATATTGTTAAAACACTTTACAGTATTGTATTGTTTATATTTTAACTAGTGCTGTCAATCGATCAAATTTTTTTAATCGCGATTAATCGCATCAATGCCTGTGTTAACTCGCGATTAATCGCATTTTAATCGCAAATTTTTTTTATGATTGAAAATCATTTAAATACTCTCGATGACATACAAAAAATACATACAGGCTAGGTTTGTGCCAATGTTCTTTTTTTAAAAATGAAAACAGGTCACAGACACTGATTTATGCCATAGAAACATATGGCATGAAGATGGGGAGGCATGTAGCAAAAAATAACAAATATGTAGCCAAAAAAAGGCCCCGAAAACAGGCTGATGTAAAAGACAGTCTTTACAGTTAATACAGTCTTTTGAACAAAGACAAGCATTTTACCCTACTGCTATAAAATGTAGTACAGTTAACATTAGATGTTAATTAACCAAGATAATAATGAACAATTTTCAATCAATACATCAAAATAAATAGACAGACATCACTAGATGGAGGTAGTCTATGCTCTAGAAAGTTACTTTTCAGCCTCTTAACAAAAATGAGAACACACACACACCCACCCATTCTGGTTTTTGCCCTTTGTGGGGTCCTCCAGTTTTTTGGTGCTTTATGGGATCCACCCTTTCCAGTGGTCCTACACTGCTGTAAAAACAAGGGATGGATTAAAAAAAAAATCCCAATCCTTAAAATCACTTCAGTTCAACAAATTTCTAAAGTTTTATCCAAAAAGGCATTTGGCGACTTGTGGGATCCCGTTCCTAGCATTGCCAACTTGTGGGGTCCACTCGCATACACACATACATATCAAGTTTTTATGTGTTTATGGGGCCCAAGGTCGCCATTAGCAGATGCTGAGACCAGCCTTGATTATTAATCCCAGTTTCCGCATTTTGGACTAAAATAGTTATTTTTGTAATGAGGAATGATGCACAGTTCTGCCATACAGTCTGACCATTTGAGGTAATCACTGCAATCGGGTGTTTTCTGTAATGGTCAATCAGATGACACCTGTTGACAGGTATGTTGGTCCACTGTTAATGAACAAGCTGCTTAAAGGTTGAATATGGAAGACGGGCAGAACAGCAAGATCACGTGTGTCTAAGTTGTAGTTGCAACGGCCGAAAAACAACTCCAGCTGCTGGGATCCCAGGCTCGCTGCTGATATGCAAGTGACCACCAGCCTGCAGCATGTCCTACAAGTAACACGGAGGAGTTTATAACTCACAGCTAACATTAGCCACGTTAGCAAACAAGCTAGCTTTCCGATCGAGGAGAAAAGTCACCATTTCCATGTTTTTGATGGCTTAGAAAACGTTTATATGGGTCGTCTTAACCTAAATCTGTCAGGTCACTCCTCTTCAGGAACACCTCCAGGACTCTGAAGCAGCTGCTTGACTCACAGTCTTCCCTGTTTCCCCCTGTGCTAGCTTGGCAACCGTGCCAAACATACTATTGCCACACAGAGATCATATTTGGCAACCAACAATGGCTTATAGATGTAAACATAATGCCATTGTCAAAGCCGTAAATATTTTTATAATTATTATCAAGCTAAAAATAATTTTTTAATGAAATGTTATACTTTCATTCTGCAACCCTCCAACCTTTAAATTTCTCTGGGACACTTTTTAAAAATTATTTTTCAAACAAAATTCAAAATCAATATTCAAATAAAATAAAATTATAATTTCATAATCTTTATTTTTTTTTTTACCATTTTCAGTTTCTACTTATTTGAATCACTATTGTGAATTTAACCTTTTCTTTAACGGGAGGGGATGTAAACTTTCAAGCACAACTGTTTATGTAAAACCTTCCATTTGCCTTGAGACATAAAAAGAAGCACGCTACACATAAAATTTTCTGACAAAAATGAAAAGACCACTTTTATTGTTGGCATTAACAGTTTATGCCACAGTTGTCAAACTGAGTCCCTTTCCAAACAGATTAATCCAAAAATATGCAGTAGGGTTTTCGGTGCCGCTATGCGGCAACAACAGCCTCAGCCTGAACTTATATCTAAACCAAACAGTTTTTGTTGTACAAACACTGAAATTACATGCTTTTTAGGACTGCATCCTTAGTGTCATGTTAAGTTTTTTTTTTTTTTTCCAGTGAAAACTCAAATTTAAAAGGCATCATACAGAGATATTTAAACAAATAAAAAATCCTTTGAAATAACATTTCCTGCGCCCGTAATAAAAATAAATTAAAAATAAGATAAAATAAGAATTGTGAAATGTGTATATTTGTAGGCCACGGGACAGTAACAAATCCTGAGCAAACCTCTACAACAGAACACATAAAGGATTAAACATTTTAAGATCCTACCTCAAATGCTTCGGTTTTACCTCAGTTCCATTAGGTGCTGTCACACTACACCTTTCTTCTCAGGGCTGTAATGTGATTTTTAATGTAGTATTTAACTGCTTTCCAGTCCCTGTTTCTGAGAGCTTGAGGTTCTGCATCAATACAGCGCTGACACTCTTCTTTACCAGGAACTTGACCTCTTCTGATAAATCTCTTCAAATGTGTGTTCACTGCAGCACACTCGTCTGGGGTCCAGCTTCTCCTCACAGCAGTTTGCTTTCCTATGTAGGCAAAAAACACAAAATATTGTAGGTTTTCTTTTGTGAAGAAAATTTTAGTCACTTAAAATAGCAATACTGTTTGATAGATAAAATATGTCATACCCGTAACAAGTTACAAGTAACACAAAAAAAAATTCTGTATTCACAGAGTTTTCCAGTATAATTTTCCACGCAACAATTAAGCAGTAACTGTTATGTTCTGTCATCTAAAAGCAATTTTTCTCTTTTTTGTAGGGTTGCAACGGTACACAAAAATCACGGTTTGGTGTGTACCTCAGTAGGGATGAGCAAGTTCACCACTATCTGTGTCTGTTCAACCATCTAAATTATCTGCATCTATACTCGAAGTGGGTGGGGTCTAAACGTGAAGTGGGCTTGGTTCAAGCAGAGCTGGATGGGGCTTAAATTGGTACATCGTTTTTATTTTATTTTTTTTTAATTTAGACTTTAGAAACTCAGAAGCTGATCAAATATCGGGTTAAATATCGGTGGGGTGGCCGATGTCCGATATTCAGTTTTAAGGCCGATACCGATAGGGGGCCGATTATATCGTGCATCCCTACACCATAGCATACAAGTCAGCATAGATGAATGTGTTTAAATGTACTTTTACCTGTGTGCAGGGCTCATCTGGGATTGGTCCATCATTTAACGTCATAGGAACAGGGCTGGTCTCATTCTCAACTGCTGCTGCAGGAGTCTGAAGGCCTTTCACCTGAAATATAGAAGGACAAGAATGGATTTAGAACTGAATGAAGAGACATTCACAGGCAAATAAGATCATCTAGTGGTCAAACATTTCTGAAACAGCACAGTGCTTCAACCAAGAGCACAGCATGGTCTTTAGGACTCATCAGCAGCTATTATGATCGGATCAATGCAAAGATTGTGTTTAAAGATGCTACAGCTCAGCGAGTGCACAATGATGAATGTTAAAATCACAGCTGAGGTCATGTCAGGTGTTGCCATGGTGCCTTAAAAACAGTTACAGTAAGAACTGGACGGGAGGGCCCCACATGGCTCACACTAGAGACAAGGGAGTGTGTAAAGGAGGGACTACAGAAAGAATGCATTTGGAAAATTGAAGGACCCCATAAGGACATGACTGGAAACATGACGGTGTGTGTGACATTACCTGGTCTTTACCACTCAATAGCTTCACCTGATAACTTTCAAGTCATGCAAGCATTGAGCCACTTTAATAATAGAACACCATAGCATACAAGTCAGCATAGATGAATGTGTTTAAATGTACTTTTACCTGTGTCCAGGGATCATCTGGGATTGGCCCATCATTTAACGTCATAGGAACAGGGCTGGTCTCATTCTCAACTGCTGCTGCAGGAGTCTGAAGGCCTTTCACCTGAAATATAGAAGGACAAGAATGGATTTAGAACTGAATGAAGAGACACTAACGGGCAAATAAGATCATCTAGTGGTCAAACATTTCTGAAACAGCACAGTGCTTCAACCAAGAGCACAGCATGGTCTTTAGGACTCATCAGCAGCTATTATGATCGGATCAATGCAAAGATTGTGTTTAAAGATGCAACAGCTCAGAGAGTGCACAATGATGAATGTTAAAATCACAGCTGAGGTCATGTCAGGTGTTACCATGGTGCCTTAAAAACAGTTACAGTAAGAACTGGACGGGAGGGCCCCACATGGCTCACACTAGAGACAAGGGAGTGTGTAAAGGAGGGACTACAGAAAGAATGCATTTGGAAAATTGAAGGACCCCATAAGGACATGACTGGAAACATGACGGTGTGTGTGACATTACCTGGTCTTTACCACTCAATAGCTTCACCTGATAACTTTCAAGTCATGCAAGCATTGAGCCACTTTAATAATAGAACACCATAGCATACAAGTCAGCATAGATGAATGTGTTTAAATGTACTTTTACCTGTGTGCAGGGCTCATCTGGGATTGGTCCATCATTTAACGTCATAGGAACAGGGCTGGTCTCATTCTCAACTGCTGCTGCAGGAGTCTGAAGGCCTTTCACCTGAAATATAGAAGGACAAGAATGGATTTAGAACTGAATGAAGAGACATTCACAGGCAAATAAGATCATCTAGCGGTCAAACATTTCTGAAACAGCACAGTGCTTCAACCAAGAGCACAGCATGGTCTTTAGGACTCATCAGCAGCTATTATGATCGGATCAATGCAAAGATTGTGTTTAAAGATGCTACAGCTCAGCGAGTGCACAATGATTTAATTTAAAATAAATCACAGTTTGAGGTCATGTCAGGTTTGCCATGGTGCCTTAAAAACAGTTACAGTAAGAATTTTGGACGGGGGGGCCCCAAAAATGGTTTCACACAAGAGAAAAGGGGGAAAGTTTTGTAAAGGGGGGGAACAACAGAAAAAATCTTTTGGGAAAAATTTTAAAAGGACCCCCATAAGGACATGACTGGAAACATGCCGGTGGGGTGGAAAAAATTACCTGGTCTTTCCCCACTCAATATTTTTTCCCTTCTGTTGCTTGCGGGGAGTTTGGGGTTTTTTTCACCTGGATCAAAAGAAAGAACTCATCTTAAATCACATCCCCCGATCAAAGCCCTAAACCCACTTTTACATTGTCATAGTCCCAGAGTAATTTTTAGAAACATGATAATTTTTCAGAAAAAATACAACTTTTGTTTTTTGTAAAAAAAAAAAAAAAAAAAAAACCCAAGAAATCTAAAACCAATCTAACCAACTCCCCTCCTAGGGCCAAAACCCCTTTTTTGTTTAACCTTAGTCATATTAAATTTTCAATCTCCTTTTTCCTATTTTCTTAAAAAAAAAAAGGCACAAAGTGGCTTTTTTCGCCATGATTTTTTTCTTTGGCCCCAATTTTGGATTTTTGTGGTTGTCATTGACTAGCCGTCTTTTCCCGAGAATCCCATCTTCATCAGATGAAACCAGGCTGAAAAGCTTAAGAAAAAATTGTTTTTTTTTTAAAAAATTTTTATTGAAAGATTGCATTTTCAAAAGAAATTCCTAAGAGGGGGGGAGGGCACGATTTTGGGGGGAATTTTTTTTTTTTTTTTTTTTAAGGGCCCGGGATATCCATTTTAAAAAAACTAGTGTTGCACCGGGAAAACCAGTACGGACGGGGCCCCGAATTCCCCTAAAATGGGGGTATCGGTAAGTCCCCAACAAATGGGGAAAACCGGGTTCCCAAATTTTTGAGAGCCATAAGTTTTTCAACTTTTGTCCCCCAAATTTCCGGGTAGGCCCAAATACAAATTTTCTTGGATAATTTCACTTTGTTTTAAAGTTTTTTTTTCCTGCTTCACAAAGGTAGGCAGCAGCTTTAAAAAAGGGCCAAAGATGGAATTATTTTAAATTTAAATTAAAATGGGTATCGGTTCGGCCAAATACCCCACAGCCAGGAAACGGTACCCGGAGGGGGCCAAAAATGGTTGGGCAACCTTTTTAAAAAACTCATGTACCAATAACCGATATCGATACCGAGTTTAAAGCTGGACAAAAATAAGAAGCCCTTGAAAATAGCATTTTGTTTACCCAAATTTCGACCCTTTGATTTTTAAAAACGCGGAAATCGATCTTTTTTACTTTCAAAATTTTGGTGAAATTTCATCGTTCTGTTAAAACTCACGTGATATTTTAAAAATTTTTGTGAGTTTTTGGGTAGTAAAATAGATCGATAACCCCCCTCAATATAAACAACATTTTAAAAAATTGGCAAATTTTGTGAAATTTTTGGGGGGTTTCGAGCATAAAAGAAGACATTTAGCAATATTTCATTAGTAAAAGAGATTGATTGGGGGTTTTTAAATGGCAAAATATCAACATATGGGGAATTGGGGTTTTTAAAAGTATCAAAAAATTTTTTCCCCCCTCTTTTTGAAGTTTTTAAATCTGTTAAAAAAAAAAAAGGTTTTTTAGGGAAAAGAAGTAGAATAATTTTTTTTAAATTTTTTTTTTGCTTTTGAAACTCAGAAGCTGATCAAAAAATCGGGGTTAAAAAAATCGGTTTGGGGTTTTGGGCAAAAAGTCCCATATTTATTTTAAAAGGCCCATACAGGCCGATACCGATAGGGGGCCGAAATTTTAAAACGTGTATCCCTACCAAGAGTATGTGTCCTTTTAAAAAAATTATTCCAAAAAAATTAAACCCATGTTTTTTGGGGGGCAAATCAGAAATTTTTCCTATCTAACAAAACAACCATCTATTTTATGCTTACCACAGGCGATTGTTCCGATACTCCCAAAAAAAAGAAAATTTTGCTTTCAAACTTTGGAATTGCTTGACCGGGGAAAACTTTCCCGTGTCAGGGGTTTTTCCCCCCAAAAACTCCAAAAAAACGAAGTCCCCTGGTTCAATTTTGGGGGGTTGGCAAAAACTCCTCATTCCTTTTAGTTAAAAAAAAATAAAATCACATTTTAATTTTTGGGAACCCCAAAAAGAAAAAGCAGCCCATCTTTAAAAAATGAGGTTGAGGGTTTTTTTCTCATTTTTATTACCTTTCAGACCCAAGCCAGGGACTCCCCCAAAATTGTGTTGCTCAGTGTACAGGGTAAACTGCTTTTTTGGGTCACCCCTTTTTGTGGCCATCTAAAAGTTTTTTATCTTAACCCCTTTTTTTTTAGAACAATTATCATTTAGGGCCCCGGGCTGCTCTATTCTGTTTTCCCCTTTTCCTGAGAGGCCCGGGGTACCCTTTAGGGGGAAAAAAGGGAACACCTAATGAAGCATACGGGCATCATACCAAATCAACCCTTTTTACAAAACCCGATGTACTGTAAATTTATCCCAAACTGGGAAATTACAGTTTAGCAAACAGCAAGGCAAGGAACCAAAAAACAATTTTAAAAATCACAGGGACTTTCCAAAACAATTAAATATAAAACCTTAAAAAGTTCTTGTATTTTTCAACTTTAAAAAGTGCAATTGGGCATAAACCAAACGCAACATAGGCAAAGGCCCGAGGGGGAATTCAGTGTTTTAACCCCTTTTCCCAAATTGCACGGGAAAAGGGGGAATATTGTTTGGGGTCCGTCCCTTTTTAAACCCCAAGGTCCTCTGTCCCGCTATTGTACAATTTAAGATAAAACAGCTTTATCAACAAATTTAAATAGGCTTTATTATTGACAGAACTGGGGCCCCTTTTGACACATAAAACCTGCCTTTTTTCCCGCATGATGCTGATTTTAGTTTTTTTAGGGTTAAAAAGAAACCTTTTTTAACTTTATTTTATGGGCCAAAAAACAAATTTTAACGAACCACAACAAAATGCAAAAACGGTGTTTATTAATATTCTTTAAGCACTGGGATTAGGCTGGGGGTTTTGTATTTATTTTCCTTTTTTTCTTGGATATGACCCTTTTTTCCACAAAACCAAATAAACAAACAAATTTTCCCTCAAATTTAAATTTGGGGAATTTTTTTTTGACCGAATAGTTTTCTGTGGCGAAAAAAAACAAAGCGGACAGACTGCATCTTCTCCCGATTGGGGCAAGTGGCCTCCTGCATTTTAACAGATTTCAAAAACAGCACAGTGGTTCCCGGTAGTATGCTACACAGGCTTGATGTAGAAAAAAAAATTTAAAAATTTTTTTAAAAACAAAAAAAAGAATTGAAGGGGGAAATCCCCGCTTTTTAAAAAAAATTCCCAAAATGAATTTGACATTTTTTTTTTAAAGGCCCCTATTAAACCCAAATTTCTTCTGAAATGGGACAAGTTTTGTCAAGGAATCTTCTTTCACTTAAACCCTTTACAAAATTTCAAAAATCTCGAAATAAACCCATCCTTTTAGTGCAAGACAGAAATTGTCTTTGCCCTTTATCTATGGGGGTTTTTTTCCCTTTTCCTCCTTTTGGGCATAATGCTCTGTGGGGAAAAAAAAATAATCATTTAGTCGAGGCCCAAACTTCCAAAACACCACAAAACCTCAGTTCCCGATGCCATTTTAAAAGTGTTATTTAATTAAGGGGTGCAACTAACGATTATTTAAAAAAAAAAATTTTTTTAACCTCTTTTTTTCCCAAAAAAAACATTTTTAAACAGAACTAACAAGCCCCACAAGTAAAGGTTGCTCATTAACTGAAAATGGTGCAATTTGAAAATAAATGTTTGTTAAAACTAAAAAAAACTTTTCATGAAAATGTTTGCCCCTTCATTTCCCAAAAATAATAGGGTACTTTGTTTTTTTATAAAGTTTCAAAAAAAAATACATTTTTGTTTTTAAAAGCCCCCAAGGGGTTCAAACAATAGGCCCCCCCCATTTCAACAAATTAGTTTTTTTAGACTAGAAGAGTTCTGCCTTTTAAGACAGGAAAGTATAGCAGTTAAAGTTGCTACTTGAGAAAATACTGAACCATAGAGATAAAAATAGCCCTGTGATTCAAATTATAAATTGTATTTGGAATAAAAATGAGAGAACTAGGGGGTGTTAAAAAACACATCCTCCAAAGACAGATATTTACATGGGAATGTGGCATATAATTAATTACTGATCCTGCATATACATATACTGATCCTGCTGGATTTTATTCTGCTTTACTTCCATAAATTGCAGGATCTTCTAAACTTTAAAAGCCTTGCCCTCATAATTTGCAAGTTAGTTTATTTATAAAGAAAATATAAATACTGCTTAACCTAATTCAAATGAAATTAAAAGTAAAATAAGTAGCCAACCTTATCACTGTCTGTAACCTTCTAACACGGTAAGGAAAGCATCAGATGAGCTACCTGAGAAACTAACGTTACGTTTCCCCCACTTTAAAACCAAACAAACATGGTCGCTCATCCTGCTGATCAGCTCTCTTCACGCCATCGAAGGCTCCAACGTGTTTTCTTTTCAGGTGCTGCATCATAACAGTGGTGCTTCCGTGCCATGTTCATTTGTTTTTACAAAAGTTGCATGTTACGACTTTTTTCACTTTACAAAGCGCAGGCTATTTTAATTATTGTGATCAATTTGCGCCTTCAATCCCGGCACATGCGCGCTTCATTTGCAGTCTGGACGCTGAGGGTAAACATCTCCTGCGGGAGAACGGGGTTAGGATG